TACAAACAAATATTAAAATACAATTGTTTGAAGTAATGAGTATTTAATAGTAATAGTGAATATTAATAGTAATATTAAGACATTTAATAAATTTAAATTTGTGTCCTTTAATTTCATTATAATTGTGATCTTTTAAATGGTAATGTAACATTGGAAATATCATTGAATGCATGACGTGAATCAATACTTTTATTTGAATCAAAAGCATCATTAGAAATACTAGAATCATCAACACTAGTATCACTGGAAATTGCATCTTGATCATTACTCATTAAGTCACATGTATTATCTGTTTCAGTAGTAACTGAATGGGTTTTGCTTGTAACATTTATTGATTTTGAATCATAAATATTAAAATTACCATTGTTATTAGAATGTGTAATAGTTTTTTAGTAATATTAATGATAATGGTGGAGCAGTGTAATATTCCACAAAGCAAGATGAAATATACAAATTTTAGAAAAGAACAAATTAATTTGTTATTACCACCCAACAAATCTTCTTGATAGTGGAAAAAGTTACATGTAAAAATGGCATAAATGGTGGGGGATAAATCAGTTAAACCACTGGGATAATACAAGTTTAAGCTCAATTTTACAAAGTAAAATTGAACTTATACCTGTACTACCAAGGGTTTAACTATTAAATATCCGCTAAATCAAATATATATGAAAATCCATTAAATCTGTTAAATTGAGATAAAATAATTATAGAAAAATTTGGTTTGAAAATTTATCCATTAAACCCCTAAATCCGCTAAATCAAGGTCCATTAAATTGAGACTCACTGTGTATATGTGAACTAACTTAAAACTCTGTCATCAGTTAGTCTATGAACAAAGCCAAATGACTCCAATTTCTTTCTGCTGCTGCTAACAAAGCAGGAATCAACATAAACTTAGCAGCAAGTTCAGTAAGTACTGGCACCTCATTTTTTAAAGCAAACTACTACATAGTAGGATCCTTTATGTTTCATCTGACCATAATACATTTAAGCATTCCTGATTTGCTTTGGTATTCCAGCATTTAAAGGTGGGTGTGGGAAGAAAATTTTTTTGTAAAGAGTTCTATTACAATTAATATGTGCTATGTTGATCATCTATTATAAAAAACCACAAATGTTGTATAACATTCACATCCGAATTCCCCCGATGTTTTTGATCACACATTTTGCGCCCTGTTTAAGGGCTAATTACTAACAACCCTGAAAATTTATGTTACACATTCGTTTTTAAATGTTTAATTAAAATTATTTTAGAAAATAAAAAAAAAATTTTTTAATCAGAAACAATTAGAGAAGAGTTTGTAGTTGTGAAGTTCCATTACCTACAAAAAATAAAATACTTTTTTTCCTTTCCAATCGAATAAACCGTAAATAAACTATATAAATATAAATAGAGCTTCCTTGCAACACCAAACAACCTTTTTTTCTATTAAACGAATTTGACTTTTTTTTTGCAGACAAGTAATTATTAACTGTTATTACTATTACTATTACTATTTTTATTTTTATTATTTTTATTTTTTAATAAAGTTTTATGTTGTATGATAGATAGTCAGCAAAGTAATTTTTAACATCTAACAAACCGCAACGTCATCAATAGTATTTGTTTCTTCCTTTTTTTCCTATTTCCTAATTAAAGCATCAAAACATCAACAACGACACAAAAAATATTAACACATACATTAACGTAACCTTATATAATGTCTTCATCCATTACACCTTTTTACCGACCCGGATCTTTTCCTGCACTTTCAGCTCGTCTTCTTGCCAGTGCCTCACAGTCATTACGTCAAGCAATTAATTCACAAATCCTTTTAAAATCTTTTTATTCGACTCCTTTACGAGTTGGAGGTTTACCGGTAACTACCACGAAAGGTTTTACATATTTAATAGCTGCTTCATGGCATCCTAAAAGAAAACGTCAAAAGGTACCAGTTGTCAATTCAATATCCGAAAATCTATGGTGGAAAGAACGAATGAGACCTGGTAAAGTTGATGCTGGAGAAGATGCTTTTTTTTATGTTGGAACCAATAATGGTGTTGCTTTAGGTGTTGCTGATGGTGTGGGTGGTTGGTCTCAGGTATTAATTAATAATTATAATTATTTATTATTATAATTAATCAAAAAAAAAATTCTTTTAAAATAAAAAAAAAATTTATATATAGATGGGAGTTGATCCTGCTAATTTTTCATGGGCATTAATGGAAAGCTCTGCTTCGGTAGCTAAAGAATTTAGTTCATCAGAGATTGCATTATTTAGTGCACCTAATGGATTTGCAGATATATTGGACTCAAAAAAAATACTAACAGGCGCGTTTGAAAATTTAATAAAAAGTGGGAAAGTGAATGCTGGTAGTTCAACGGCTTGTATTCTTTCGCTCTCAAAATCCTCTGGAATACTTAATGCATCATCATTAGGCGATTCAGCATATCTATTGATTCGTAATGGTGAATTGATTTATGAGTCACCTGCTCAACAACACTTTTTTAATTGTCCGTATCAATTAACAATCGTTCCTGAACATTTTCCAAATCAAAAATTATATTTCAAAGATAAACCAAGTGATGCATATCAAGCCAGTCATCAGCTTCAAGATGGTGATGTAATATTACTAGCGACCGATGGTTTTTTTGATAATGTATTTTCATACGAAGCTGTAGCTATTGTTAATAAAGAATTAAGAAACGTTATAAATCGAGATAGAACTTTTTATGATAGTGGTAATCTTGATGAATTACGAACTCATGTAAAAAAATTATCAAGACAATTAACAGATACTGCTAGAAGATTTTCATTAGATTCTAGGCGTGTAAGTCCTTTTTCACAAAGTGCAAAAAAAAGTGGAGAAAATAGGATTGGAGGGTAAGCTTTCTTTTTCTATTTTTATTTGTTGTTGTTGTTGTTATGGTTTACTTGGTCCACATATAAGCATTTTTTTATAGAGAATTAAGAGAATTTTTATAAAAAAAAATTTGGTTGATTCAATTGTTAGTTAATTTCTAATAATTTTAAAACACACATTGTGTGTTATAAAGAGGTTTTGGTCTAAATTTATTCAGAATATTAATTACCATTTCAACAATGGTTACTTTAACACCTTTTCTTTCAAAATGTTTTTATTATAAAATAACTTACAATTGTTGTATAATTAATAGGAAAATCGATGATATAACAGTACTAGTGACCTTGGTACGAGCAAACAAATGACCAAAGGAAATTTGAATACCAAAACAAAATATTTATATATTATCCAAGTAAAATATTTAAACAATTAAATATTAAAAAAGTAATTATAATAATTTTTAGAATATTAAATAAATATAAAATTAATATTATTAGATTTACCATAATTATAATTATATTAGTATTATAATTAAGGTTTTATTTATGTAAAAAATTTTATATTTAAGAAAATTTTTTTTTCGTTATAATCATGATTTGCTCATTCACCACCAATAATATCAAATTTCATTTCAAAAATAAAAAACTTAGACCATGATTATAAAAAACTCATCCCTACTCAAAATAAAAATTGCATTTATTCATAATTACATATATGTATACGCTGATGTTATATTTATAATATATGTTATGATTTATGGCAATGGCAGTATAATGTATCAAGTATAAATAAAATTATTTGTTAGCAAATATTATATTATTATGATGAATACATACATACATACATACATATATATATATTGTTTTTTATATATTATATTATATTATATTATATTATATTATATTATATTATATTATATATTATATTATATATTACTTTGTCAATAATTGTTGATAGTAAATTAAAAACCTAATTCCTTAATTAATAGGGGTTTAGAGGAAAATTAAACTATCATTAATTTCTAGTAATGTAATATATATATTTATGAATTAAAAAAAAAACATGAAAAAAAATTAAATAACCATGAAAAATTTTTAAAAAACAATTAAATTTAAAAAAAAAAAAAATTCAAAAAAAATTTTTTATAAGAACATGTGTGTATTGTGTGTAAAAATTAAAAAGTGCGGATGTGTATATATGTTTTTTTTTTGTGTGAGTGTGAATGGGTGAATTTGTGAATTATATATGATGAATGATTAATAAAATATTATTTCTTTCTTCTAATTATTATTCTTCTAATTTATTCTTTGGAAAAAAATATTGTTTTGCCTTACTTGTACAAGATTATACACAATCAAAAAAAAAAGGATCAAAAAATTTTTGATGATATCAAGCCCAAACCTGTAATATATAATCAATTGTCATTTATAAATATTTAAAATAAATAAATAAAAAAACATCAATTAAGAGATCATCCGATTCATTAAATATTTTCCTACCTTTAATGATGAATCCCAACTACCCGTACATAAAGCCATACCATCATCAGATACACCCAAACAACTCACACGATTTTCATGACCTGCTAAAACACCAACACGTTCACCTTTTAATGTGTCCCATACATTACAATTAAAATCATCATAACCAGCAAAAAGAAGACGCCCAGAAACTGAAAACGCAACTGAAGTAATTCCACAAAGAATATTATCATGAGTGTATTGATTAAGTTCTCTATCTGCACGAAGATCAAATAATCTACAAGATGCATCATCAGACCCTGTTCCAAATGCATCACCATTGGGAAAGAATCTAATTATTGTAAATTAATTAGTTATATTATTAAATTTAAATTAAATTATAATATGCGCAAAACTTACTGTACAGCATTTATATCAGATTCGTGTCCAGTGAATGTTTGCACACAATGGCCAGTTCTAATATCCCAAATTTTTGCTGTAGAATCACAAGCACCAGAAACAAAAATTTGTTGACTCGGAGCAAGTGACAGACTAGACAATTTAATAGACAATAAATAATAGTAATAATAATAGTTATAATATTAATATTATAATCGCATTTCAAATTTCACATTCATATTAAAAAATTTATTAATATACCTCATTACATCACCAGTATGATCGTTAAACTCTAATACTTTCATACCAGCAACAATATCCCAAAGCATACAAGTCATATCACCTGACGACGTTAATATTTGTCTATCACTAATGAACCGACAACAAGAAAGGTAGCCGGTGTGAGCCGCTAATTCTCTGGCAACTTTGACAGAGCCTTCTTTTGTTTTCAAATTATATATAGAACATATGTTGTCAAGACCTCCACAAGCAACAAAGTCTCCAGTTGGTGCATAAGCACATGTCATCACCCATGACGATTTAAGCGGAATAGCATGAACTTTGTTGGTGGTTGGTGCATCCCAAACAATAAGTTTACCATCTTGTGATGCAGATACCAAATGCCTTTGATCTGATGCCCAATGCATCGCATAAATTTTGGCAAGATGTCCTTTAAGTGTACGACGAATTTTCATTACAATCCTTGGTAATGGTTCTATTTCTGCTGCCATTGTTATTACTATTTTTATTTTATATAATACATACATGTATATATACATAATATGCATAATGTAAAAAATCATTAATATTTTAGCAGATATTAATTAAACCAATAATACACTTCCAGATCATAAAAATAAAATAAAGGCCTAAAAAATAATTACAAGATGTGTCAGCCAACGAATCTCTTTTCATTTTGATTTTTTCTTTTAAAGTTTCAGCTTCCTTACGAGCTGCAGCTATTCTTTCTGCTATGTCAGACATTTTTCTTTAATAATAATGATCTAAATTCCTTTTTATTTTAGAAAGATATGTAAGATTAAGAAAATAAATATTGTTTTTCTAGTCGATGCTACTTGCTGTTAGATGTACTTGTTTAGTTTTAATATTTGGTAATGTTAAAATGCGATGTGATGGTGGTGGGTGGTAATGATAACGATGATAAAAATGAAGATAGTGTTTATTTTTTTAAAAGAAGGTAGGTATTAGAAAGAAAAAAAGAAAGATTTAAATTTATTCTTATTGGTTTCTTTTTATTATTTTATTTTTTTAGTAATAATAATCATATAATAAAAGAAATATGATTTGTTTTTTAAAATTTTAAATATATATTAATGTATGTATAACTTCTACACCTAATCTAATATTTTTTTTGTTATCCAGCTTTTTAAACATAAACATGCTCTTGCAGTTTCTGGCAACAAACAATTCCGCCATTATTATTATTACTATTATACAAACAATTTAAAAGGATTTATTTTTTCGAGTTGAGACAAATGGAAGCAACACAATTAAAAATAACTATTGCTATTACTATGTTGCATTCAATTCGCCTCTTCTCCAAACAACTTATTATGTTTGTTTTTTTTCAAATTGATTATCATTTTAAAAAGCAACACACCATTATTATTATTATTATACAAACAATTTAAAATGATTTGTTTTTTTCGAGTTGAGATATATGGAAGCAGCACAATTAAAAATAACTATTGCTATTACTATGTTGCATTTAATTTGCCTCTTCTCCAAACAACTTGTTTTTTTTTTTTTTTTTCAAATTGATTATCATTTTAAAACAACACACCATTATTATTATACAAACAATTTAAAATGATTTTTTTTCGAATTGAGACATGTGGAAATAACACAATTAATAATAACTACTGCTCGCATTCAATTCACCTCTTCTCCAAACAACTTATTTGTTTGTTTTTTTTTCAAATTGATTATCGTTTTAAAGCAACACACCATTATTATTATACAAACAATTTAAAATGATTTTTTTTCGAATTGAGACATGTGGAAATAACACAATTAATAATAACTACTGCTTGCATTCAATTCGCCTCTTCTCCAAACAACTTATTTTGTTGGTTTTTTTTTCAAATTGATTAATGTGCAATACAAAACAAACTACTTATTAAAGATGAGCAGCAATATTACTATTATACAATTTAAAATGATTTATTTTTCGAATTGAGAAATGTGGAAGCAACACAATCAAAATAACTACTTCTATTACTATGTTGCATTCAATTTGATTCTTCTCCAAACAACTTATTTTGTTTTTTTTTTCCATTTTAAGCAACATATCATTACTATTATTGTTTATATATACAACCTAAAATGATTATTTTTGATTGAAAATGATTTATTTTTTTCAAGCTCATTAGGAAGCATAATTAAAAATAATACAATTGTTCATTCTATCTAAATTTGTTATTATAGAAATATGTCATATGCAAAGAATGATCTGCATGTATAATCTATAAAAAGTTTGTGTAATAAACTGGTTGAACCGGTTCGGTTCGGTTTAAACCGGTTTCGCTGAACTGAAACCGAACCGCCCCATCCCTAAGAATTGATGCTAGTTTGCAGGTAGCTAAAAAAGTTTTTATAGGTGCTGGTCCATGGAAAGCACAAAAGATTAGAT